AGTTTTTTTAATCTAAAACTACATTTTATTCTTAATATTAATATACCAAAACTATATAAAAACATTTAAAAAAAAACAATAATTTAAAAGTACGAAAAGAAGCAGTATCATCTCTTATGAATTACATCTCCATGGCTTGGTGGGGGAAGGAACAGCTTGAAGATTGTTAATGATTGAGGCAACAGTCGTGCCCTCAGCATCTGAGCACCGGTTGCAACGTTGGAATCTTTGTTATCGCAAATTTACTCACGTATAACTGTTCCTCCAATAATTTGCCTATGAAAAGAAAAGGGAAGAAGACATTTTGCGTGAAGGCACATCATCTTTACACATCCTCGTCAAAATACCCATGATAAAAAAAGCTAGGTATAAGGGCCTATGAAGATCTCTTACAGTAACCCAGACATCAAAAAGATATCTAGGATTAGGAAAATACCACCATACCTGGCTAGCTAGCAAGTAGCTACAATTTGAGCTTACCCCACCAACCAAATGCCCAGGTACCTGTCACCCTTTTAGTTTTCAACCAGTGAAAAGGTTCGCAAGCTGTCACTTACTGTTCTTCGAAATCTGTTTTTGTTTAATTATATAAAAGTTTTGTAGTAGATATTCATAAGATATAATGAAGAAAATGTAGTTTTTTTAGTCAAAATTATCTTCTCTTGTTTATATGTTTAACAGTAACATGTTTTTTTATTAGAAAGTTTTTCTAAAAAAACCCAAATCTCGGTATGGTAAGATAATTCTTTAAAAATCATTTTAATAAATTTATTTAAATAAGATTTCATTCTGATATTAAAAAAGTAAAAGAAAAAAATTAAAGGTTATTTAATATAAAAAACCAAGCGTGCCTGGCCTAAGAGAAAATGTCCAGGTGTCCATTGTTATAGAAGGCTGGGCCCGCATACCTGACTTTATTTCTTTTCTTTTAAACAAGAGAGACAACATGTCATTCAGCTCAATTGTTTTTTTAAAAAAAATAAAATGGACAGCGTGCTGTCTTTTGGTTTATTTTTTAGTCATCTCCGGTCATTTGAAAGTTTTTCTAAAAAAAAGCCAAATCTCTGTATTTTTTTAACTCGAAACATCTCAAAAATTTTCTAGAACCCTGTACAAAGTTTTCTAGAACCCTGTTAAACATCATTTAAGCTAATTTGAGTTAAAATTAATTTAAAAAAATATATATTTAATTAAAATTATAGATAAAATTAAATTTAAATAAAATATAATTTAATGTATTTGATTAAAATAATATTTTTTAAATTGAGGTTATAAAATAATATATATATATATATACTAATGATTTTTAATTTAAATATTGTAGGTTTAACAACTGTTATTATATCATGAAATAAATAATATTTATATCAAATATTTTTTATTATTTTATTAAATTATGTGCAATTTCATTATATATAAAATCTATCCAATAAGAACTATATTCTTCATGGCTTTTTAAGTACGCAACAAAAAAAACTGAATTTTTGTTGCCTCATCAAACAATCTATTTCTAATTTTTTTGAATAAAATATAATTAAAAATAAAAATAAAAACTAATTTTTTTAAGTAAGTTGAACCCTACAAGAACATAATTGAAATTGCGATCAAATTTTAAAAATACTATGTCATCAAACGATTTTCTTTCTAATTTTTTTAAATAAAACATAACTAAAAATAAAGATAAAAAATGAATTTTTTTTACTTGGGTGAGACCGGCAAGAACAAAATTGGAACCGCAATCAAATTATATAAATATTACGTCATCGAGCAATTTTTTTCTAATTTATATATTATTATTAATTAATATTAAATAAAAAATTTTCAAATAATTTTTTTTTATATATTATTATTAATTAATATTAAATATAAATTTTTCTAATAAAAATTAATTTTTTTAATATAATAAGCTTTTTACCTGACATGATTCACGTGAATATTATCTAAATAAATTACATGAATTCACCTGATTTGCATATGTGAAAAGCAGCTCTTTCAGTTGCTTCATACAAATTAGTGTTTCAACAAAAAAAATTATGGGTTCCACATGAGAAAAGCTAGTTATATTTTATATTACTAAACTTAATATTTACATAGTAAATTTTAAAAGTAGAAGTTATTGTATAAATAAATATCTTTTTAGTAAGTTTAAAAACGATAAATCAGATAAAATTCACAAGTCTTAAATTTTTTTTAGCATGTTTGAATAGCATAATCAACTTTATTGAACTTCTCTCTAAAACAAATCAATTGATACTTAGATTGAATTTTTTGGTGAATGAAATGTTATTAGCGAACACTTACTATCTCCTCTCCCTCTCCCTCTCCCTCTCTTTTGCTTTGACTCTCTCTCTTTTTCGTTGACTCTCTCTCTCCCCTTCATCAGCGTCCTAGTGATGTAATAGAAATAAAATTTAGAGTTAAAATAATAATAAAAAAAGAAGATTCTGGTTTTTATTTTTTTAATTATAAATAAAAGTTTAATTTTGTAACATGGACCTTTGATTTAATGTTGAAATGTTTAGACACCTCGGATATATTAGAATGTGTGAATAAAATAAAATTTTAAAATATAAAATTATGACAATATATTAATACAAGATTATGAAACCAAAAATAAATAAAATTTAATAGTTGTGTATTATATAATTTTTTTCAAGGATTATTTAAAAAAAACGAATTGTGGATAAATCCACAATACACTCAAGAGATTATGAAGAATAACTGCAAAAATATACTACAATTTTTTTTTAGTTTATTTTATAACTGTAATTAATTGTGCCACTAACCTGCGACATTTAACAACTCATACATCTATAAATTGGAATAGGTGTAGTTAATCTGCATGTCTTTCATATTGTGATATAGAATATTTTTTATTTGAAAGTATATTAAATTAATTTTTTTAGATTTTTTTTTAATACCAACACATTAAAATTATAAAAAAATATTAATTTAATAATTTTTTAAGATAAATACATCTAAACACAGTTAAAAATGTAATACCAAAAAGACAGTTTTGTTACACTGTAAATCGTCAAATCCTGGTTCTCAGTTATATATTTGCAGTATTTTTTTATATAGATATTTTTTGTATTTCTAATATTTCAATCTGCCTAAATTTCTAATATTTCTTGCCCAGTAACACCATTAATTTACAGTCCTTTGACAGCCAAAAGTGGCCCCATATTTCGGTTTTTTCTAGACTAATAACACGTGTTCTTCCGTTAAAATTTTGCCGACATATCTTCCTTGTCTTTGGACTATTTACAAGGCGCTTCGCGGCTCGCCGTGGGTTTTAAGAAAATTAATTTTTTTTTAAATTAATTATTTATATTTTTAATTTATTTTAATATGTTAATATAAAAAATAATTTTTTAAATATATTTCTGATTAACAAAATTATTATTACAATATTAAATAGATATTTAAATATATATGATGTATGACAGTGATAGTTATTACATGGGTGAGGGGGATTCCAAGTTAATTTTTAATGTTTGAAAGAAAAAAAAAAAGAAGAAGAAGAAGCTAGTATCATATATTATAAAAAGTTACTGAGGAATGGAATAAAAAAATTAAAAATGCTAATCAAAAATTAAAATGGAACATTTATCTTAACAACGATAAGCAAATGCAAATATTCTACTTGTACTGTACTTTTAGTTTTATTTTGTATATATTTTAGAGGTTAATTTTGATAGCATTATTATTAATTTTAAAATTTATAAAAATAATCGAGATACACATAAATTTTATTCTGTATATCTACATTAATAATAATAAAAAAAAATCCATCCAAATATATATATATATATATATATGAATCATATTAATCTGTATAAAATTTAATATAAAAAAATAAATAAATTCCAATACCTTGTTGATTTTTTTTTCAAGATAAGAAAGGAATAACAAGTTTTTCATTTAATGGTGGAATATTTGGGGATACTTACACATGGGCAAGTTCATGCAAAGAAAATATATAAAAACACGCTAATAAACTCTTAAAAATAAAATTACAAAGAAATAAAGTACAGTAATTAAAGTGTGACAAAAATTCAAGTTCTGAATAGAAAAGAAAAAATAAAAAAAATAAATGCGTGAGTGGATAGTTCACGCACCCTACAGTGAAAATACTGTGATGTTTTCCTGCATCTTTTAGTTTATTATACAGTCCACACGCATAGACACAAACATACGAAAGCAAAGAATAAGAGCCATCCAATCTTAACCATCTGGTAGGTAACCCGTAGCAAGAACTTGGAAATTAAAAGGTTTATTTTTATTTTTTTATATTATTAATTTTAAAATTTATAAAAATAATCGAGATACACATAAATTTTATTCTGTATATCTACATTAATAATAATAATAAAAAAAAGCCATCCAATCTTTATATATATATATATAAAAGATTTAGAGCTATCCAATAATGATATCACAACTCTTGATCCTTACTCCAAATTGCCAAACACTCGCAACGACGCACTTTCTTTTATCTTTTTTTGTTATTTTAATTTTTAATTTTTATGCTTTTCCCGTTTGAAAAGAGGATACACCAACACGCGATCGAACTGCTGACAACCAATTAATGACTAGAATGTTGTGTCCAGGAACGAAGAGAGGAGCCATTTGCAAGAACAACATGATTTCATGGAGATTTGAAGTCGCAGAGCATGAATTTGGACAGAATGGAGTAGCTGAGCAATTGCTGTGAAGATTCCTCGTCTTCATCCATGAACTTGTGCTGCTATCGTCAATCTTTTTTTTGCTTTTATACATGGGAAGAGGGCAGGTTTTGTATGGCACGCGCTTGGAGTAGACAGTGGTGCATATATGTTAATAGTAATGGCATATTTTTGTGTACTGACTCTATTGGTGTCACCATCAACCACTGCTCACTGCCAAGCCTGTCCTGTTATGGCAAAGCAAGCAAGGACCCTCTCTCTCTCTCTCTCTCTCTTGTCATGTTCCTTCCTTTTAATTACTAGCTCTAGCTGAGGGCAGGGCAGTCTTCGTCTGAACCAATGGAACTATTTGACTCTCTCTTTCTTTCATCTTTTTCCAACTTTATCTACAGTCTTAACTTGAGTTGCTTGCCCTTTTCCCTGATAGAAAATCTGATGATCTGATCTTCTCCTCTCTTTTAAGCATATCTCAGAAGCTATCTCTGTACCCAATAACTGCAGTCTTTCAACCTTTCTTGCTGACTGCACTCACTCTCTCTGCAAGCAGAATCTTTCAATTTTTCCCCCCTTCAAGTTGTTTACTACATTTCTTAATTCTCTCGCCTTCAAACTATTCAAAACAAAAAAAGCCTCACCTCTTCCCCACTCTCATAAAAACCATGCAGATTCTTGCACTTTGATCATCCCTTTCGTGCTTCGTTTAATTCTCACATCACCAGCACCTTGAGAAGTTAATCTTGTAGCTGCAAAGAGCATAAACCAAAGCTTCCGCCTTTTTTTCCTCCTGAAGAATGGAAACAGTATCGCCCGGTTTTCACCTAAAATAAGGAAGTGATTTCACTCTCTGCGTCTCCTTCTCTCCACTAGGGTTCACTCACCTTCCCGTACAAGCAAGCAACAAAGAGAGGCAAAACAAAAGGAAAACAGCCAGAAGCAGGACAACCTACAGGGTCTTCAAAATCAGCTCCTTTCAAGATCCCGATAAAGAAAGCAATAAAACCCTAATCTAGATCTTCATCTACATGGATTTAGCTTCCCTATCAACAAACCCCACCTATTCAAGCCCTGTAATCACAAGCCCCACCACCACCACCACCACAAACACCACAACTTTGGCCACAACCACCTCCCCATCTTCCACTCCAAGTCGCTATGAGAACCAAAAGAGAAGGGACTGGAACACTTTTTGCCAGTACCTTAGAAATCACAGGCCTCCTTTATCACTCCCTATATGCAGCGGAGCCCATGTTCTTGAATTTTTAAGGTACCTAGACCAATTTGGCAAAACCAAAGTCCATAACCAAACTTGTCCTTTCTTCGGCTTCCCTAATCCACCGGCACCATGCCCTTGCCCCCTCCGGCAAGCATGGGGAAGCCTTGATGCACTCATCGGAAGGCTCAGAGCTGCCTACGAGGAGCATGGAGGGAGGCCCGAAGGAAACCCATTTGGTGCAAGAGCAGTGAGGATTTACTTAAGGGAGGTTAGGGATTTTCAAGCTAAAGCAAGAGGAGTTAGCTATGAGAAAAAGAGAAAAAGGCCCAAACCAAAGGTCACAGCAACACCACAATCAGCAGCAGCCGCAGAAGCAGCAGCAGCTGGTTCCAGTGCAGGTTAGTGGTCAAAATTAAAGAATCGATGGACCTGGAGTTGAAGATCGATATCGAGGCTATATATGTGTGGGTTCATTCACCAGCAGCTTTTAGCTATATGGGGTATATTTTCTGCTCCTCCTTTTTACTATAAAGAGAAGATCAGTTATAAAATGAACTTTGCTTATATTTCTAAGAGGATATGTTGAGATTTGTGGGTACCAGTTGATTTGCTCTTTAAGGGACAGCTGCATGGTAATGACCTTGTAGTATCAGCAGCGGCAGTAGTGGTAATAAATCATATACTGATACTCCCCACTAGACAAAGCAGCTAGCCGAAATCATGGAAGCAAGTGTTGTTATACCTGTGTTCAAAAATTAACATGTACCTAAACAAGCAATCTAAGTACTTGTTAATTAAAAATGCTCTCAAGTCTCTTCTTTAACTTGCAATTTCACCCCTAATCTTTAGAGGAAGTTGGGATTTTTCTCTACTTATTATATCCCTATCCAAGTATCATATGCATATGAATATTGTTTTCCCCCGCTAAACAACTTAATTAATCAGAAACCTAAGATTTTAATGACATCTGGTGATGAATATTGAAGGAGAGGCATTGCCAACTTGAAGTAGAAGACAATATTGTTTAATGTATTTTCTATTTATCTCAAAAAAAGACGAAATATTTCCTTTAGTTTAATAGAAATTGTTAATGCAGGACAGAACATATTTTAGAGAGGTGTATGAGTTCACGAGCATGTATTGCGAACAGTAAAATGATCAACTAGCTAGATAAAATGGTATGTATCCATTTAAAGAAAATCTAAACGGATCTATATTTAAGCAAAAAGACAAAACCTTAGATTCATCTTTTGTAATGCTGGTGCCAGCTAAAAGCACACATGCTGCAATAATCTACTAAGTAATTCAATACATAAGCCCACATGAAGAAATGGTAGAATTTAAATCTTGAGTGGCTATTTCGGAATCCGCCTGGGCCGACATGCTTTGGAACTTGATTAACAATATACGAGTGTTTATACATTAAAAAATTGTCTTCATGGGAGTACTATATTTAGGATCACAGCTTTGCAGGATTGCTCCATCATTAATAAATGCAGGCAGGGGGCAATGTTCTCGTAATTTAAAGGGGAGTTGTTTGTATTCTTGTGTAGAAACCACTGATCATTCTACTGTTTTGCGGCCGGCGTCTCTAGATCATGTTTCTTCTCGAGTAGTTAAATATTTTGTTTAGTAGCATGCATTAATCACTACTTCCATAAACTATATGATAATGTCAAAGTTTATGTATAATCATATATCATCGAGTTAGGTAAGCTTTTTTTTTTTTTTCCTTTTTTGAGAAATGTTAGGTAAGATTATATGCTATCAATTCTAGCTAGCTAGGGTGCCATGGAACTTGATTGATTTGTTTGCATGATCATGTAGCTCACTATCCATCACATTGTTAGGGATTCAATACATGAGCATTTCCCTCGAGTGATCCACCACTCGTATGATCTTAAGCAATTTCTTTGGTTGGATTGCTTCCCCCTCGTTTTTTAATCTCTCTACCTCTATCTGTCTGGGGGTGGAAAAGGGCTTCTAAATTGAATACATGGCTGATATTTTTAAGTACAATATCATTGATCTTGCTTCAGTTTAACTAGTCCATAAATATACTGTAATTAGGACTTCAGGGCAGATTAAAGAAAGAGATAGGGAATAAGTTTGTAGCTCGGAATTGTATTCTTGTATGAGCTACAAGGATGAGATCTCTTTCCTTTATCATCAATTCATAAATAAATAAAAAGATTAGAGATATATTAGTCTTTTTTCATGCTTGCACATTTGATGTGTTCTTATGTAAATAAGGTTTTAGCAGTTCTCTCTATTTTTATTTTTATTTTCCCGTATCTGTTTCACTGTAAATTTTATATCTTTTTCGATAAGCGGACTCCTTCAATGTGTAATGAGCTGTGAAATTTGCTTTGAACATGTAGATAGATTTTGTTCCTTGATGGAAAAAAAATTGAAGATTTCCTTGAATCTTTTTATTTAAATTATTTTTGGATCCTAAAATCCTTATTTTAAATGCATGATTTATGTCTATGCATGGCTCTATTAAAAGATCTATGGAGCTTAGTTTTTTTTTTTTTTTTGAGAAGTATAATATTGCATTAGAAGACGCCAAGGTCTGGCAAGGAAGACATAGAAAATCTGCTTACAGCTCAAGTTTAGCAGACCATGAAATGAAATAATCAATAAATTAAGAAACCAAAAATAACAAATAACAGCTCAACTTGATGCCAAAAATAACAAAATAGCAGTTAAAAGATGTAGATTTGATGCCACACCAGGATGAATTACCGAGTAGACTTCCACCTTGATCCAGGTTTAAATTAAATCAAATTCTTTCCATCTCTCTTTTTAACCGAAAACATAATATAAACCAATATTTACACCAATCAAAAAACTTTTTGTGAAAGTTAACTTTCAAACCTGAGCATAATTAGAACCAGTTAAGGATTATCTTAACATTCTCCAGAGCTCCAACATTATTTGGATAAAAAATCATTGTATCATTCATGTATAAAAATAGTATTGATTGGTGAGAAGAAATCTGAACTCCGCATGGAAACCACTCCTCTATGGTCGTTTAAATGACACTGTTAAACCTTTCATGGCAATATTCTCTCTCTCTCTCTCTCTCTTGTCATGTTCCTTCCTTTTAATTACTAGCTCTAGCTGAGGGCAGGGCAGTCTTCGTCTGAACCAATGGAACTATTTGACTCTCTCTTTCTTTCATCTTTTTCCAACTTTATCTACAGTCTTAACTTGAGTTGCTTGCCCTTTTCCCTGATAGAAAATCTGATGATCTGATCTTCTCCTCTCTTTTAAGCATATCTCAGAAGCTATCTCTGTACCCAATAACTGCAGTCTTTCAACCTTTCTTGCTGACTGCACTCACTCTCTCTGCAAGCAGAATCTTTCAATTTTTCCCCCCTTCAAGTTGTTTACTACATTTCTTAATTCTCTCGCCTTCAAACTATTCAAAACAAAAAAAGCCTCACCTCTTCCCCACTCTCATAAAAACCATGCAGATTCTTGCACTTTGATCATCCCTTTCGTGCTTCGTTTAATTCTCACATCACCAGCACCTTGAGAAGTTAATCTTGTAGCTGCAAAGAGCATAAACCAAAGCTTCCGCCTTTTTTTCCTCCTGAAGAATGGAAACAGTATCGCCCGGTTTTCACCTAAAATAAGGAAGTGATTTCACTCTCTGCGTCTCCTTCTCTCCACTAGGGTTCACTCACCTTCCCGTACAAGCAAGCAACAAAGAGAGGCAAAACAAAAGGAAAACAGCCAGAAGCAGGACAACCTACAGGGTCTTCAAAATCAGCTCCTTTCAAGATCCCGATAAAGAAAGCAATAAAACCCTAATCTAGATCTTCATCTACATGGATTTAGCTTCCCTATCAACAAACCCCACCTATTCAAGCCCTGTAATCACAAGCCCCACCACCACCACCACCACAAACACCACAACTTTGGCCACAACCACCTCCCCATCTTCCACTCCAAGTCGCTATGAGAACCAAAAGAGAAGGGACTGGAACACTTTTTGCCAGTACCTTAGAAATCACAGGCCTCCTTTATCACTCCCTATATGCAGCGGAGCCCATGTTCTTGAATTTTTAAGGTACCTAGACCAATTTGGCAAAACCAAAGTCCATAACCAAACTTGTCCTTTCTTCGGCTTCCCTAATCCACCGGCACCATGCCCTTGCCCCCTCCGGCAAGCATGGGGAAGCCTTGATGCACTCATCGGAAGGCTCAGAGCTGCCTACGAGGAGCATGGAGGGAGGCCCGAAGGAAACCCATTTGGTGCAAGAGCAGTGAGGATTTACTTAAGGGAGGTTAGGGATTTTCAAGCTAAAGCAAGAGGAGTTAGCTATGAGAAAAAGAGAAAAAGGCCCAAACCAAAGGTCACAGCAACACCACAATCAGCAGCAGCCGCAGAAGCAGCAGCAGCTGGTTCCAGTGCAGGTTAGTGGTCAAAATTAAAGAATCGATGGACCTGGAGTTGAAGATCGATATCGAGGCTATATATGTGTGGGTTCATTCACCAGCAGCTTTTAGCTATATGGGGTATATTTTCTGCTCCTCCTTTTTACTATAAAGAGAAGATCAGTTATAAAATGAACTTTGCTTATATTTCTAAGAGGATATGTTGAGATTTGTGGGTACCAGTTGATTTGCTCTTTAAGGGACAGCTGCATGGTAATGACCTTGTAGTATCAGCAGCGGCAGTAGTGGTAATAAATCATATACTGATACTCCCCACTAGACAAAGCAGCTAGCCGAAATCATGGAAGCAAGTGTTGTTATACCTGTGTTCAAAAATTAACATGTACCTAAACAAGCAATCTAAGTACTTGTTAATTAAAAATGCTCTCAAGTCTCTTCTTTAACTTGCAATTTCACCCCTAATCTTTAGAGGAAGTTGGGATTTTTCTCTACTTATTATATCCCTATCCAAGTATCATATGCATATGAATATTGTTTTCCCCCGCTAAACAACTTAATTAATCAGAAACCTAAGATTTTAATGACATCTGGTGATGAATATTGAAGGAGAGGCATTGCCAACTTGAAGTAGAAGACAATATTGTTTAATGTATTTTCTATTTATCTCAAAAAAAGACGAAATATTTCCTTTAGTTTAATAGAAATTGTTAATGCAGGACAGAACATATTTTAGAGAGGTGTATGAGTTCACGAGCATGTATTGCGAACAGTAAAATGATCAACTAGCTAGATAAAATGGTATGTATCCATTTAAAGAAAATCTAAACGGATCTATATTTAAGCAAAAAGACAAAACCTTAGATTCATCTTTTGTAATGCTGGTGCCAGCTAAAAGCACACATGCTGCAATAATCTACTAAGTAATTCAATACATAAGCCCACATGAAGAAATGGTAGAATTTAAATCTTGAGTGGCTATTTCGGAATCCGCCTGGGCCGACATGCTTTGGAACTTGATTAACAATATACGAGTGTTTATACATTAAAAAATTGTCTTCATGGGAGTACTATATTTAGGATCACAGCTTTGCAGGATTGCTCCATCATTAATAAATGCAGGCAGGGGGCAATGTTCTCGTAATTTAAAGGGGAGTTGTTTGTATTCTTGTGTAGAAACCACTGATCATTCTACTGTTTTGCGGCCGGCGTCTCTAGATCATGTTTCTTCTCGAGTAGTTAAATATTTTGTTTAGTAGCATGCATTAATCACTACTTCCATAAACTATATGATAATGTCAAAGTTTATGTATAATCATATATCATCGAGTTAGGTAAGCTTTTTTTTTTTTTTCCTTTTTTGAGAAATGTTAGGTAAGATTATATGCTATCAA